AAATTGTCATTTTATTATATAAAGTTAGTGGTAATTAATGTTTCCTTAATTTGTGTGTTTTTTGTCTATTGACAATAATATTGGGACGGAAGGAGTATTATTTTTTTTTCCTTCTTATCCACATCGGTATTCTAGTTTTTCGGGCAAAATGAGTTAGCATTAAAATCAATGGTTAATGACGAAAGAATCACTATATTTTATAATTATTTTCCGGTATAACAACCAAATTCTTATCGGCATTAAAAAACCACCCATTTTTAGATTAAAAAAAATAATCACGACCAATATGACCTGCATAAACTCACGAATTTTTATTTTGTGCTAAAAAAATCAACCATAAATTGATGGTTAAAATTGATTTTTGGAAAAATACATTTTCTTTGTTTGTAATTAAACCAACTCTAATAGGTAAGAATGGTCGCGCTACAATGTTTTACAAAAAAAACATAGTTTTTTTTTTTTTTTTAATTTATTAAAAATTGATGGTTAAACCGGATATATAATCATTGTTTAATAACATGAAATAAAATCTTAACTAATCGTAATCTCATTGTACATAAATCTTCCACAAAATTTTTCGCCACACCAATCCATCAATAGTAAAAAGCTATCATGCATTTTGGTCGTCCTATTTATTTCAGGGTACTGGTACGACCACCATAGGAGATATTAGTAAGGTCATGCATAAAGAATACAGAATTATCAATCAAAATAGCATGGTAGTAGAATGCTGTATTGTCATAGTTTCATTTTTGCCTTAAGTTCCAAAGCTAGGTTCCATTACAAATACACAATTGCGAGATTTAAACTCAGAACTCTCGCACTTTCACATTAATTAGAAGTAATAAGCTGAAGCTGGCGAGCCCGAACTACCACCTGAAGCCGTGCGAGTGCATGCATGCATTCTAATGCTATACGAGACTGCCTCCGAACATAAGCTCCTCGTACTACTGCTTGCAGCTTCACAAGACTCCTCAACGCCTTATATGCTCTCCGTGCCTATGTACGAATCACAATCATTAATTATTCCGTTTTATAAAAGAACTTTTAATTCAGTGTTGAAACAAAGAAAACATAATTTGAATAGACGTACGAGGTGCCTTCGAAAGCAAGTTTGGATTTTAGTGGCTGCAGCCATTTCTTTGACCAATGGGGTGTCACAAACATTATCATCGATTGTGACGGGAGTTGATGGTGGTGGTGATGGAGGCGGTGGTGGCGGTGGTTGCTCTTGAGAAAATGTTGTATTGTTGGTATGGAGGACAATGATGGTCTCGCTGGGACGTGAAGACGACCGGAGAAACTTTCTACGGACAACACCAAACCAAGATCTTCGGGGTTTTGCCATTGAAATCTGTATGCTCGAGGACCATTGTAGCTAATGATCGACTGGTTTTAAAGAAATGAATATGAAAGTAGAGTAGTAGACGTAAAGGCCGGAGATGTGCGCCCCATATACAGGTTTTGGCCATACTTGTTTGCGTGTATGAGAACGTGAGGGCATGAATGATGATTTATGAATTCGTCTATGAAAGCGATATGGTGTTTTTAAAAGGTTTCAAAGCTTTAAAATAGTTTCCTAGTTGGCCACCATGCTATTTTTGGGAAAGTCAATGCATTTATTTATCTGACAAAATTGCAAAAATAGTTCCTTTGTATGTAAATTTTTGGGGTTTTAGTTCAAACCCCGATTTTTTTGGATTAGTGGTCCTTTTGAGCTAGTTTCGTTGCGGATTTGGTCCCTCGGTAAATTGAAATGACTATAATACCCTTCTAATTTACTTTTTATGTTTTTTTCTATTTAATTTAAATGAAAAAGAAAATAATTAATTAATTTGGACCCATCTATATATATATATATATATATATATATATATATATATATATATATATATATATATATATATATATATATATATATATATATATATATATATATATATATATATATATATATATATACAGCTAAGAAAAAAAAACCCATGTATCTTCTTCTCCCCACTCACCTATAACTCAAAGCCATTAAAAATCAGATTAGCAAAAAGGATGATAATATGAAAGTAATGAAATTGGTGGTGTGTTGGGGTTTATCAAAAGGAAAGAGAAATGTTTTGGTACTCGATTCGGTTTTTTTATTAATAGAGCTAAAGGGGGAGACGGAGGATCTGTGTGATTTGCAGGTGACGAATGAAAGTACAAAGGGTTCTTGGTGGGTGATTTCAGAAGTAGGCGGTGAGAGGGGATTAAGTGCAAGATGAAGAATGGGGTTTAGATATCAGAGAGGGTCGTTGATTTGGACCTGGAAGACGAGAGGAGTGGATAGAATACAATAAAAAACATCACTCCTCCATTACTAGCAGCTGCTTCATCTTCATCTAGTGGTAACCTCTCCGGTGAGATCTCTACAGGTATTCTGGTGATCTGCTTATTATTTGTTCAAGAACTGAGCATAACTTAATTCAAAAATCAAAGTTGCAGGTGGTTGAGTAAGATGATGATGGACCACAAAAAGAACCAAACCCACCAGAGTATTGTGAAACCAGAGCCGGAGCCTTGTGAACTTCTCAAAGTGTCCAAGAATATATAAATCTACACTTTTGTTATACCCTGAAGATAACTTTTACACGTGAAAGTTCTTTTGTTTTTTCTATCAATTTTCATAGTGCTTTGATAATTAGCCTCCCACCTTTCCCTACTGATCATCGTCTCTGTCGACATCCTCCCATAGCATCTTCTTTTTACCAGTAACGTGATCTTAATTTCAGGTATGAGCTGAGATGATCAGAAACAAATTGGCATGAGATTTGTTTGAGAGGATGGATTAAGGAATAAAGGCATGTATTGGGTGACGATTCAAGCACGAATTTACTAGATATTCTCGAATTAAAATTAAGGCCAGCAACAATTATCTATATTTTTAGATACTAACAATCTTAGTGTCCAATTTTCAGGGAATCTTTAGAAATCCAAGTAACAAAGGAAATTTTTTCATTGGTTTGGGTTGTATATCCGAAATGGGATGTGTCTACTAATAAATTACATGTTGAAGTAGAGTGTTGTATCTCGCACACAAGGTGTTTGACAAAAATCCTCAAAAAAGAGATCATCATTGTTTTTGACCGGCCTCTGATCCTGTATGTTTACGTCAGAGAGAGAGAGGGAGAGCGAGCGAGAGAGAGAGAGAGAGAGAGAGAGAGAGAGAGAGAGATGTCCTTTATTATTATTTTAATTGTTAAAATAAATAAATAAATATTAAATTTTAAGAAAAATGAAAAATAAATACCCCAAGGGTATTATAGTCATTTCAATTTTAGGAGGGATTATTTTCACATACAAACCACTCCAAAAGGACCATGAATCCAAAAAACTCAAGGTTTGGACTAAAACCTCAAAGATTTGCATACCATAGGGACCATTTTTGCAAGTTTGTCGATTTATCTGGTTATAATTTAGATATTGTATTCTTATAGAAAATATTAATCACAACTTTTAAAAATTAGAAGTTGTTAAAATAAGAGCAACAAATAAATATGTTATATCTCATCTTTCTCATAAAATTTATTTGTAATTCACTAGGTGTGAGATTCATATATTACATGTGTTTAATTTAAAAATAAAAATATGAAATTTTAACAATTTGAAAATTTTAAATTTATAAGAAAAATAAGAAAAAATTTGAAATTATTAAAATTAATGAAACTTTAATATATTGAATACATTACATATATAAACATTTTCTTAATATATATATATATATATATATATATATATATATATATATATATATATATATGACCTTACACATTAAATGTGGAATTTTAATTTAATAAAATAAGAAATACAATAAAATGACAAAGTGGAAAATAGAAAATTTAAAAATTCTAGAAAACATCAAGTATCCAAATGAAAAAGAAGAGGACATATGACAAAAAAGCCTTCATTTATTATAATAGATTTGAAGTATTAATTTAAAAAATAGATTAAACTATCTTTCTTAAAAACAAGCTTAAACAAGTTATGACTAAAATCAAAGTTATAAAATTGTTAAAAGATAAATATACGAAGATGGTTTACTCACCAGCTCTGCTGCAGCTTTTGTACATCCCCTACCATTTCCATTGCTTCTACCACAAGCCACTCCAAAATGATAAAATCATAAAACACTTCTAGAATTGTATACTTTCACTTAATATCATTCAAAGTTATTACCGTATTATTATTTCATTAATTTTAATCTATAATTAATCAAATTAATCTATAACTAGATGGGGAACCCTGGCGTTGCGAGGGTCGGATACAACAATTTTTTTCGTTCTTTGCTTTTTGAAAATGTTATTCGATCAACTATTTGTTTATAGTTTGATTTGTTCATTCATTCCCTCTTTAACTGATCTATAAATAAATAAATAAATAAATAAAAACCATCAATGAATCTATAAACAAAACTAATAAAGTGATATTTAGTAAATAGATTTACAAATATTTATGTATCTTTTAAAAAAACTATAAAGTTTCCCATGCTCCACATGGGTCAAGGGTTTTGATTTGTGTCGGTTAATTTTTTTAAGGTTTGTTTTAGGAGATTGTAAAGTCTCCTCTGCGGCAAATAAGCTATATAATAGATTAGAAGTATGTTCTTTCGTTTATAAATCCATATCTATACATAGACTCTAAAAAAAATTTGCATCCGACACAAACTTTTGTTAAGTAACTGACCTAACTGCAACTTGATTAATTTTAACCGGAAGCGTGTTTTGCCTATTTTTATTTCAAAATTGTGGTGACTTGATAAGATAATGGAAGATATGGTAGATAACCTGACCCATTTTCAATTCCTGGCACCACTAAGCCTTTGTGGCCATGAAGGTTCGCCTACAGTGACTCCAGAGCATGAAGCAAAGCTTTATGTTTGCAGCGGGGGATTAATCGGTGCGCGAAAGTTGACCCGGAAACCCTCGTTAGGAAGTTCCCTTTCACAAAAAAAAAAAAAAAAAAAAAAAAAAAAAAAAAAAACCCTTGAAAAGTTTAACTATCTACATCAATCTTAAAAAATCATCAAAACAAAACATGCCTATGAACACTTCAAATCTAAAAACATAAGAATCAAACATTTTTCAAAATAGGGAAAACAACATCTGAATATATGACCATTTTGTCCTCTTACGTTAAAGGTACATCACATTTTCTCCATGTTTCCTCCTTTACCTGCCAACATCATATCTAAGCTTCTTGAATGCCTTCAATTTTTCTTTATTCCCTAAATGAATAAGTAAGATTATTGTACGTTTACATATAATCACGTATCTTAATCATCATTTATAAAAACATTAGTTTTACCTTCAATGGTGGCTGCATCTTTCTTGTAAGTAATGGTTTTACATATGTCGATAATCAGCATCTTCCATTAACTTTTAAGGTGGTTGGTGCAAATCTAGAAAAAAAAAAAAAAAAAGGTCGATGTTTTATACAGATTAAGATGCTACTATAAATAACAGCTACTAAACAAAATATGAATAATAAAATATACATACTATCAAGTCAACTGGAAAGTAGATTTACCTGATTGTTTGAGTTACAAACAGTACTTAAATTTTTGAGGTTGCCCTTTAGTCTATACTCATCATTGTCAATCGTCCTCCCCGAGACCAAAAATTAAAATTCCATTATTTATAGTGTAAATAAAGTTCTTTTGTATAAAGTTCTTTCCTTGGATAAATTATCCTTGACTTTTGTATAAATTTGATCTTTACCGGTACTTTCTGAATATTGACCAAATTTACTAAAATCAAGAATAATCACATGCAACACTTAAATTGGTTCCTATAATCCATGAACCTCTTCAACTTTATAAATTTTATTATGTCTTCTGTTTCCAACCTCGACATCTCAATTCCCCAAATTTATAACTCTTATCTGTTCATTATCAAGGTGATGTAATTTATGTACAGGGGGCGTTTTGGTTATCAAATAACTATACCTCAAATATATGAATAATGATAGTGAGAGATCAACATAAGTGATGACAAAGAAACATGTTGAGGAACTGATGTCGGTGGATGACAACCCTCTAATCCCTTTTACAGTCTTTTACGGTCTGAGATTCAAACAACCCCCAAAAAAAGTCAACATAAGAATAAAAAGGCTACCATAAGAATAAAAAAGTTAATTTAAAAGTAATAAACAGGAAGATGATTAATCTGATGGAAAATCGAACGAAAGTCAATTGAAAGCCCTAACTGCCAACCAGAATTCGAATTCATGAAAAAGAAGTTCACCTGCAAAAACCTCTTCACAATAACCCTTATCATCGTTCTCCTCCATACTACTTATACCCATAGGCCTACATTCGAAGCCCTGAAAGCAGCAATCATACCATAAGACGGTGAGATTTCTGGCAAATTAATCATTGGGTAGGAGAACAATGAAGGAGAATAGCTTATCAAAGTCACATGTCGAACCCTATCGGAGGTACGCGAAGGTGGCGACCTCTTCTCCACCGTCTCCACAAAATGGGTGTGTCTAAGTCGCTTCGCTTGTTGAGAGAATACCCACCAGAAAGAGGAAGTAGAAACGTGACCCTACTTTCGAAATCAGATTGCAAGCCCTCCAAGAATACCTTTCAGAATACCCACAAACAGACAGGGAGGAAGTAGAAACGTGAAAGAGGAAGAAACATTACCTTCTCGTCATTAATTAAGAGAAATAGAGGCAGAGAGACGTTTGGCAGTTCGTTCTTCCTTCCACCTCGATCGATTAAAAAAAGAACAGTGGTGGCACCGCTGGGGATCGATGATGATGTAGAGAACATAGAAAGAAAGATCTTAAAATCTGGAAACCAGCGAGCAGGTGGTTGATCGAGATTCAAACACGCAATCGCATTCATCTGATCGCTCACTCCTTCTATAGGCTTTTTCTTAGCCATCAGCTTTCGGAATTTTGAAGGGGAAATAAATGGCACTCCTGAGAGGGAGATAAGGCGGTGGAGAAAGTTGGTGGGTTAGGCGTAAACGAACTGAACGATCGGCGAATCGTCCGTCAACTGTTCGGCGGAAGTTCGTTTATGTTCGTTTATTTAATAAATGAACGAACATGAAAAAAAATTATCGTTCGTTTAGTTAAATGAACGAACATGAACAATGGCCTCGTTCGTTCATTTATGTTCGTGAACATTCGTTTACAATGTTCATTTACGTTCGTTTATGTTCGTTCGTTTAAGTTTATTTATATTCATGTATATTCAATTATTTTTTATTATATTGCTATATTATATGTTCGTTTATATTCATATATGTTTAACTGTGTTTTTTTTATCTTTGTTCGTTTATGATTGTTCGTTTATGTTCGTTTAGCATGTTCACGAACATAAATGAACGAACATGAACAAACTAATTTGTTAAACGAACGAACATGAACAAGAAAATCTCGTTCGTTTATCCGTTCGTGTTCGTTTGTTGTTCGGCTAACTTAAACGAACGAACATGAACAAAACCTTGTTCGTGTTCGTTTGGTTCGTTTACAGCCCTAGGTGGGGGTGCTTATGGCGGTGGATTGTTTGAGGAGTAACACGCACACTAATCCATCACGTGCCAGCAAGGAAGAAAAGAAAAACAATTAAAAAAAACATAAAAAATCAAGAACTGTTAAAAAATTTGTATATATATATATATATATATATATAATATATATATATATATATATATATATATATATATATATATATATGAATGCTTAACTTCTTCTAATAGCTATTTAAATCTAACCTAATAAATAAAGATAAATTTGTCAAATGTCAAATTCTTATTGAATTTGACACATATCATTTTCTTAAAATTTTATAATTATTTTTTTTTCACTTGTCATTTATGTATTTTTTTTCATTTTTATTCAACTTCCACCTATTAAATATCACGTCATAGTAATTAATGTGAATTAATGTATATATAAACATTCTGTTTGTGAATTCTTATTAATTAGTTTTATTAGTATAGATTCATTAAGACAAATTACATGAATGATTCTTGTGGTTTATTCTATTTATTGTATTTATTTCGAAAATTTACTTTAAAAAAATACTTAATTTTTAAACATTCATATTCAACACGATTTTTTAAACATGATAATACTTTTTATTAGTATAGATTGAATTACTTATTCATCATTTCATTTATATTTATTTTCTAAATTTTACTTTAGAAAACACTTAATGTCTATACCTTATATTTAACTTTTTTTAATCAACCCGTGTAATACACGGGTTTCATACCTAGTATTTTATAAAAAGAAAATTGAGTGACTAACTCATATAAATATAAACAATAGTGTGATGAATTTTGGAAATGGTCCCTAATGGATCATATTTAAAACGAAGGTCTCAAAGAACCTAAACAATATCCAATCCTTCCTTCCTCTCAATATTGATCAAATAACCCCTGAGGCTTCAAGTCCTCTGTAGCACCTGGTTTCCGGTACGTACTCCTTGCAATTTACATTTTTAAATAATGCATTTTTGCCTTGGACTCGGCGAGTTGATGGGCCAACTCGCCGAGTAGGAGTGGGATAAGGCGCGAGGACTGGACTTTGGACTTGGCAAGTGGCGAGTAGACCCTGTTTGGGCAAAAACCCTAACCCGGGTGTTTGCACCCTATTTAAACGCTCTAACTTGGCCTCCTTTGTCCCTAACACTTCCAGAGAGCTTTAGAGCGAAACCCTATCCCCCATATTGTTCTTGAGAGTGTTTTTGGCTTTGTGAAGACGGATTGGAGCTTAGAAGAAGAAGGAAGAGATTGAAGTGTGCAAGGAGGGGAGGTAGATTCGGAATCTACACTGTGAGAAGCTTCCATTAAGGTAGAAAAGTTCTTACCTTGATCACTAGTTCATTATATCTCCTTTTTGTCCCAAATTAGTGGTTTTCAAGCCCTAAAACCTCAAGCTCCATGTGTTTATGCTCTATGTTCTGAAAGGACTCCGGATTTGGACCTTATGAGTGTATTAGAAGTATAAAGTTTCTATGGTTGAAGTGATTGAGGTCCCCATTGAGTGTATGACCTCATTAAGAGCTTGGTTTTGCCTTTTTGAGCTTATAGGGCCATGCATGCACGTAAAGTTTGCAACTTTACGTGATAAGCATGCCCAAGGAACATGGATCTATGGTTTGGAAGCGTTGCATGTCTCAGGTTTGGTCTGTATGGGGAATGGGTCATAGGGACTTGGCGAGTCCCAAGATGGAACTCGACGAGTTCTATGAAGATGGCCATAGACTCGGCGAGTTGGATGAACAACTCGGTGAGTCATATGAATATTGCCTGGAACTCGACGAGTTGTTCTTCAAACTTAGCAAGTTGTTCTTGGACTCGGCGAGTCGGATCGCGAGTCGGTTCTATAGTCCTAAGTAGTGAGTTAAGGGTGACTCAGTGAGTGGGAATATGGACTTGGCGTGCAGGACCAGGTTAGTAGGAGAAGGACTCGACGAGTCCGTGCCATGACTCGGCGAGTCCAATCAAAATTATGAGTGGCTAATATATGTTTATGGATTTGTAGTTCAATCATTTGATTTGAGGGTATTTATGAGTGGCTAATATATGTTTATGGATTTGTAGCTGAAGGATTTCCGGTGCAGCATTCAGACGTCCGGCAGTCAAACTTTTGGTAGCTACTTTTCGAGGTGAGTTTCCTACCAGTAGGAATGGGTCTAAGGCACCAAGGCCGCCCGTATAGAAGATATGATAGTATCGGAGTGTGGGCAGAGCCCGTATCTCATAGTTGAGTTTGATGATGATAAATTCTAGTGTGGTAGACTTGTTTATACTTGTTGTCTGTGTGATACTTGTATGTTATGGTTTAGTAGCGGAGTGTGGGCGAGGCCCGTATCTCCCAGATAGTGGAGTGTGGGCGAGGCCCGTATCTCCCAGATAGCGGAGTGTGGGCGAGGCCCGTATCTCCTAGATAGCAGAGTGTGGGCGAGGCCCGTATCCCCATGAGTGTGGGCGACGCCCGTATCTCTTAGTTGTTCATTATATGTTTGTATGGTATGTGGTATTATGGGGGAACTCACTAAGCTTCGTGCTTATATTTTAGAGTTTTGGTTTCAGGTACCTCTTCAGCGAAGGGGAAAGAGTTGGCACGGTAGCGTCACATCATACACTGTAACGCCCGCAGATCCGGGCTAGTCAATTTAGAGGCAATAGGGTTCAAAAATGACTTTTAGACAAAAGATTATTTAGAATAAATAATCTTAACCAAGTTGTAGAATATGACACAAGCTTTCCGTACATATAAAGAACGCCGAAATCCGAGCTATAACGAAGAAGTTATGGCCCGCCGAAGTTTTACGGCAAAACCGGCACAGCACCGGGAGACGTAAATAGTGAATTTATGATAGAAGAATTTTTAGCCTTAGCAATCTAAACAAAAGTCGTAGAATATGTTAAACTAAGAACATCAATAAAAAGAACGCCCAAATCTGACTTCGTATGAAGAAGTTATGATTTTTCTAAGATTCGGCTTAGCAGTGCACGGCCCGAAACTCGAATTTTAGTTCGAGCGGTTTTTGGATTACGCGACCTAAATGAGAGTTGAAGGTCTCATTAATAAGAACTCAACGGTAAAAAGATAGACGAAAACGGAATCCGGATAAAGGAGTTATGAACACTTCGCGGTCATTTAACAGTCTAAACGCCTCCTACTGTTAAATTTGAGATCGGTCGAGAATTAGCTGACGGAGTCTAAACGAAAGTTGTAGATCTTGATTTTACCTACGCGTGAAATATAAAGAACGTCGAAAACGGAGCTCGTATGCGAAAGTTATGATTTTTCTAAGTTTGAAGGCTGATACGCGATAGGGGGTGACGTGGCACCACCAGAATTGGACACGTGGCACCACCAGAAGGCCACCACATGGACCAACTCGGCGAGTAGGTCCCCCCTACTCGGCGAGTAGGCCAGTCAGCACCCCTATAAATAGAGGTGTCGGGTTCCATTCATTCTCACACCTTCAACCTTCTTCTTTCTCTCTCTATACTCTCTCTCTCTAAGCTCCCTTAAGCCCCTAAAAGCCTAGGTAAACCCCCTAGCACCCGAAGGAAGCCCCGAGGCTCCCGGAGTCCCGAGAAAAAGGGTCTTTCGGCTTGGAAACGCTGCTCCAGCGAAGCCCGGTTTTGCGAAAAACCCGCTGTAAGTGAGCTATGCCTACGCTATCTTTAGTATAACTTATGTTTTAATATAGTAACATTATTAGGAACTTATAATGAGAATTTGGGCTATTATTGTAACGCCCGTAGATCCGGGCTAGTCAATTTAGAGGCAATATGGGTCGAAAACGAATTTTCGGCAAAAGATTATTTAGAATAAATAATTTTAACCAAGTTATAGTATATGTCACAAGGTTTCCGTACATATAAAGAACGCCGAAATCTGAGTTATAACGAAGAAGTTATGGCCCGTCGAAGTTTTACGGCAAAACCGGCACGGCACCGGGAAGCGTAAAAAGTGAATTTACGATAGAGCGAGATTTAGCCTTAGCGCTCTAAACGAAAGTCGTAGAATATGTTAAACTAAGAACATCGATAAAAAGAACGCCCAAATCTGACTTCGTATGAGGAAGTTATGATTTTTCTAAGATTTAGCATAGCAGTGCACAGCCCGAAATCTGAATTTTAGATCGGTCGATTTTTAGCCGACGGGATCTAAATGAATGTTGTAGTACTCGTAAATACCAACGCGTAGATATAAAGAACGTCGATAATAGAGCTCGTATGCGAAAGATATGGACGAAGCTTAGTCCCTACTTTTCGAGCGCGGCGAATTCGATACAGTTTTGTAAATCCGAGATAGAATGAGAATTAGCCAACGAGGTCTAAATGAGAGTTGAAGATCTCATTAATAGGAACTCAACGGTAAAAAGACAGACAAAAACGGAACTCGTAT